AGAACCCGGTGTGCCGGCGCCGCAAGGTGGAGGATTAGCCTATTGAGCCACGGCGCCGGCTGTAGGGGTTCATTTCATAACCGTGCAGTGAATGTTGAATATCACTTGTCCCAAGTTGGAAGAGAGGTGAAAGTCTTCAAACGAGGCTGGATATTTAAAGAACTCCTGGCCTACCATTTTGTTTGAAAGCATCACAGATTTGTCCCCCTTCTACGGTCACAATGAGCAGACGGAGCACAAACCAAGTGTCCCATTGATGGAGAAAGGCCAGGAGCAGGTTCTAGTCTCTACAGGTCACAGGAGAACATGAGGCTCTTGGGGTCACCATCAGCACTCAGGGCACTGCCATGGTTAAGGGAGGCAATAGGCTGGGGATCTGCTTTATGGCCTTCCTACTTCTGTCTGGCTCAGGTCACCTGCACAGCCAACACCCTGTAGCAGGACAACTCATCGCGGAGTCCCCAGTCTCAGGGGCACAGCACTGCCACCAGGAGCAGCCTCCAGGTGGGCAATACCAGGAACTACCCTCCCCACAGCTGAGAAGGCTGCAGGCAAGGTCCATGAAAGCAATGGTCTTCCCAACCAAAAGTAAGATTTGGCTACCCACATGTTGTTAAAAAGAAAAAAGAAAAAAAACACAAAAGGGCAGGGAGCTAAAATGCATTTTTTAAAGTTTGTCTTAAAAAGTCATTTTCTGTATAGTCCCTTGCTTTAATAGCAGAACTATTATTTATGACAGTAGTAACAAAAATGATTTTTAATACAATTACTCGACAACTTAGGAAGGAAAAACACCTGTCCTTTAGTGTCCGCAGTATCTCAGAGATTCACCAGGTCTGGTCAACGGGGGTGCTACTGAGCTTCAAATTCAAGCTGAGAAGTTACAAAAGCAAAAAGGTTCCACCCCAATCAGGACAAGCAAAAGACAGAGTTTATGTGCACGGAACTCCAAGGTGACTCTCTGCATGTTCTTCAGCGATGTCCAGTGGGACGTGCGCCATATACACACAAGTCCCCCACGGTCTCACGTATCCCTAAAACTCAGACTTTAGCAGACACCCCACTTGAAACTCACTACGCACACAGAAGGGCAGCTAGAGCTGGTGTTCTCACTGAAGAACAGCCAACAGCCACCAAGGCAGCCCACATTTGCCAGCTTGGCAGCAGGCTCAGGCTCATGGTGGCAGCAGGGAAGCCCTCCGCAACCCCCTGCCAAGGCTCCCTACCCATCTAGAAGTCCTCTGGATTAGGCAACCTATTCCTATGCATTCGTTCTGATCTCTCCAGATCAGCCCGGCAGCCCATTCATCATGTCTGTCATCCCCTGCAGAATCCAAGGCAACAGGTCTGTTTTTCTGAAAGCACAGCACCAGAAATGCAATTCCAGAAGGCGGAAATCCTCTTCCCCTGCAGCGGCTGGCCAGCCTGCGGCCTGGAAGACGACACCGATTGTGTCCACTTTCCTCTCCTCCCAGAATGACCCAGAACATTCCATGGAAGCTTTGAAAGGGAATTCAAGTGGGAAGCAGAGCTGGGGAGGCGACAGAATCAAACACCATGAAGCCACTGGCAGAGGAGAATGTGAGAGGGAAGTGGACAAGTAAACGGAAGAAACAAGTCCTTTTATCAAGGCCAAATGTTTCAGCAATTTCAGACGGCACAAAATGTCCACTAGAGATCAAATCTGCAGCTGGCATAGGCCCTCTGTATCCTGAAGCCAGGGAAAACTGAAATAAACCCAAACAAAATGTTCCCCACTGGCCAAGAAAATGCCTCTTGGGGGTCTGATATAGTTGATTGCATAAAAAAGGTAGGAGTGATCTGGAACCAATGACACTGTTAGCTGATACCTGTAGTAGCGTTTGTGAGGCTGCAGCTACAGCGTAGACACTGGGGATGTGCTGACAACAGTAGACGAAAGGCACACGTGAAATGCAGAAACCAGAGCTTCCAAAGATTGTGGCCGTGTCCACTCTCAGACCACTCAAACCTTGTAGGGGTCCCTACAGTGACCTCTGTACAGCACAGAAAGTAGTGGGATACCAACAAATGGAGAGTTTGCAGCCGGGAGATGTGGTTTCTCCTCCTGTGGCTGACATTATCGATCTGATCAAGGACAGAGGAGGGAGGAGGCGGGCTATGTGAAGCGAGGGCACTGTGCCAACCCTGAAGTCCTTCCAAGACTCCTGGACTCTCCGTGGTAGACTCTGGTAGTTTTCAGATCTCTGAGACTATATTATGTCCACAAGCATGAGCCAGTGTTATCTAAGAATGTCACATACAGAAGACAGTCTGCTTCCTATTGCAATACAGGATGATCATTTATGCCCAAGTGGTCTGATATTACTAAGTGTTCTGAACATCAATGTTTGTGGATGATTTGTTTAAAACCAGACTGATCAAGCAATAATGTACTCATTCCTGGCACATAATGAAACTGTACAAATCTGGCTAAGAGGACTAGAGAGACATCTAGGTGTGCAGAGTAGGCCTGACCAGCGCCCTTAAACTCACAAGTGGGAGGTGAGTAGAATTTGGGAAACTGAAGGATTCTAAAGACAGATTTGACTTAGGTCAAATCTTAGAATGACAACCACTACACCATCACTCATGTCATAACATATTTTAGGAAGATAAAACCACACAAATAAGCAGCGAATAACCTGACCTTTGGAAGGAGGCTTACCACAAATGCTACTGCACTTCTTGACGTGGATTCCCACTGGAAGCAGCTCTTGAGGAACTGGACCGTGTTCCATATCGCCACGGTGATCCTCTTCACGCGGTCCACATCTCTCGATAAGATCTGGTGTCGCAAAACAGAAAACAAGGAACTGCGTTTAAATATTCCAAATATTCCCTTAAGGTCAGCTAGCTTAATCTATGCTGTGTATCTGCCAATTAAAAACTAAGTCAAAAGGAAAAGTTCTGATACTTTGAAATCACTTTTTAAAAAAATACTGTTATCCACAGAGGAAAAGAAAGCCCAATTCCTTTTATAGCTCATTTGATGAAGAATAGCCCGTTTCAACAAGGTGCAGGACAAAATGAAGCTGATGAAATCTATGGCACCCAGGCATTGGGTGTGGGTGAATTTGTGTACGTGGTATATGGGCATGGGGAGACGGAGGGTGAATGTTGTCCACTTTGGAAACAAGTGAATAGATTCACAGTAGAAACAGATTTATTGTAGCTCATCTGCTGCAGAGATCACAGGACAGGACAGTTCTGGGAGGGAATCCCGTCACCCCACTGCCAAGTTGTGGACAAGTGTCGAGGTCTGTCACTTACAATTTAGTGTTCATATTAGTCCTAAACTTTCAGGTTGAGAACTAGAGGGGTTCAAAAAGTGCCAGTCATGTAGCAAGTACCTCTAAGTCTGGTCATCAGCAAAAAGCGTCAACGCTGTGAGAATTTGAGGGACCAGCGTTATAAGAGGCATGGGGGGTGGGGGTCCTAGGACACCCCGGGGGTTTGAGCAGCACGTGCCCTGGTGCTCTCAGGGCTCAAAGCTGCTGCCGGTGGAGAACATATTTTGCAAATGTGCTACAGCAGATTCATTTCAAGTTGCTTGCAAAGCAGCTCCCCCACCTGCCTCAACTCTGGTTTTAACTTTCAAGTAAACAAAGTGAAAGGCAACACCAACAACAACAACCAAAAAAATAAGCACTTACTTGGGTTACCCAAAAAAAAAAAAAATTATTACACACTCAATGTTACAGCAGACCCAAGCAAAACACATGCAGTTTCCCTTCAGAAGCCGTGCCCAGCGGTTCACGGGAAACGAAGGGACGGCACAGGGGCTTCATGCGTATCTGCTTTATGGGCGCCACAGCTGCTCACCCCAAAGGAAGTGGGGGAAGTAATAAATGCGTTGAAAAGGGGACACTCTGTTCTCTGTTGCACAACTGCACGGGGACAATAGGTACAGGGTGAGAGCCTGGACCGCGTCTGACAGGGACGGAGAGTGACTTCACGCAGAGGACACAGGGAAAGAACGTGCAACTTCCCCTCCAGGCCCTGATCCTCACTTCCTGACGAACTGAGGAAACTAAGGGAACTAAGGGGCACGGGCCGGGGGAGCAGCAGTGATTCACCGTGGGGTGACATGCCAGCACAGCACTGGCAGGTAGGCGCTGCCGCGGGTGAACGCCGAAGCGAGCGCAGATGGAGCTCCTGTCCCCTCCCTGCTCTTCAAAGGGCAGGGCCAGCAGCAGCTAAGATTAAAGGAGAGGAGGCAGGCACGGAAACCCAGAGAAACCCAGCAGGGCACGGGAGCCGCCTTGGTATTAGCCACGGTAGCTCTAGCTCGGGGCAGGATGGGGCAAAGTGGATGGTCCCGACTTCTTCACCCAGCAGGCTTGTTAAGTCCTCCCCTTCTAACTGGGGCGAGTGAAGTCCTTGTCTCAGGAGAGCAGGGCGACAAGGAGCAGAGGGAGGGAGGGGGAGAAGCCACAAGCAATGACAAGGAGGTGTCCTAGGTGCTGAGCCCACCAGCCTGGTGCACACCTACCTTTTTGGACAGCTTGCGGCCGTCTTCAACAAAGCGCTTTTCTCTGGGGGTGAAGGTCCTGATGCTTGCCTTGACCTAGAAAGACGCGGTGTTTAATGGGCAGGATTCCTATCCGCTTCCTCCTTGTCTCCTACTGAGTGGGAGCAAAGAGGAAACAGACACCTTCCAACCTGGAGAAGTGCAGGCTTCTCCTGTGCTCTCCAGGGGTGAGCAGGATCACTCCCGGGGACAGGCCCTGGCAGGGCACACTGGGGCAGGGGCGGGGCTGTGTCCACTGTGCTACCTCCTCGGAGGTTTTTAAACCACCCCAGCGATCAAGGTCCCCAAGTTCTGCGGCTCCCCTCACAGTGCTCAGAAGTACTCTTTCACCAGTAGTGACTGGTATGTGAGTATCAGTGTCCAGGTTATAAAAACACCTTTCCGCAGAGAGTCCCGTCTCCTTCCAATGACCTGGAAACCCTAGGACAGGAGCCATGGTGGCCCCGTCTGACAGGGAGGAGACTGAAGCGTGAGAGGGATGTGGCGACTCGTTCGGTGCATCAGACGGCAGAAAACCTCCAGGAAACAATATCCCTGCAGGTTGGCTGGTTCACTGAAGAATCACTTAACCAAAATATTTTCTATGTACAGCTCTCCTGCTCTTTTCCCTTAAAGCCAGGTTTCAGAGACTGGTGCTTGCCAGAAGAAAGCAGTAGATGAAGGCACACAGTGGAGCCTGCCCATACGACTTCCTTGAGGGGAGAATGAATGAAATGGGAAGACTTACAAGGAAGGAACCACAGCTCTGTACACTGAAGACAGCCCCCAGACTTCTAGCATTGCCAGAAACTTGGGGACACAGAGATACATACACACAGGTCATTACACGTTGCCTGTGTGCGTATCTATTATATATCTTCTACTACATAGGTTATATATAAATGATTTAAGGTCATATATATTACACATAGATTATATATTATAGGTCATATAGCTACTATATAGATATTAATATAAATTTGATACAATATATAGATTATATAAAAATTGCTTCTGTTTCTTCAACTTTTTTCCTTGATATTTAGATTCACCAGGAATTAAACACAGTCACTTCTGGCTCACACGATTAGCACTCTGAAATTTGGGAAGCACAGCACCAATTTTATTGATGGATTTTAAAGCACTGCTCTTCCTTCCCTCTGACGTTAAGATGCCAGAACATTTTAGCCTGATTGGAGTGTCTCTGGCCAACTGTTATTTTAGGTACTGAAGATTTGGGAGGGTTGGCCCACTTGGACTTACCGGATTATATATGAGGTCCATCTCTAAGTAAATTGCTCCTTTGAAAGCTTGCTCTAAATCTTTATTTTTCAGCACATAACAGTTCGGCTGTCCGTCTCTAATCTGTGACAAACAAAATATAAAATACCTATTAGTGTAAGTTTTCTATGTGGGTGTAAGCTGAATAATCAAAATTAATTTGGGCAGAGTTGAGAATGTAGAATAACAGATACAACAAATATTAAGAAGCTACTAAATTCATTACACATCAGCTTGTAATAGGAAGATAAGAATGTCCAGGCTGAAACGCACGTGTTGGGAGAAAAATCACTCACGCACTAGACTACAGTCATGACTGCACTGTGCCACAGGCCTTTCCTTGAAAAATCCTGGAGATTACATGTTTTCATTTCCTCCAAACTGATGCATATTCAAAAAATTTCTGGCCCAAGCGCGATTGTCAAGGTCACGGGAAAAGGAAAGATCAGGAAATTGTCGTAAATCAGAACACTAAGGAGATAAGATGATTAAATGTAGTGCGGTACCCTGGATTGCATCCTGGGAAAGAAAATGATTTTAGTGCAGAAACGGGTGTCATCCAGACAAACATCCCAGCTCAGTTCTTGTTGGGTGCCACTGTGGGCTGTTTTCAGTTCTGACAAATGTTTCCTGGTAATGCGAGACGTCAACATCAGGAGGGACCTGCGAGGGACTTGTGGGAACTTCCTGTGTTCTCTTTGCAACTTTTCAAAATTATTAGAACATTTTGAAGAAATGAATAAAAAATATGTTAACAAAATGGTCACTGTTTCACTAGCCAGGAAACAATGCAGAATGAAAAACTAAATCAGCCTCACTAGCATTGAGGTTAAAAAAAAAATCAATTAAAATGCACAAAGCACTGAGGAATCTTCTTAGAAGCCAGATCTCTGCCACCCTCCCCAGGCCAGCACGTCACCTTGGTTCCACACAGAGATCTACCCACGGGTCCCAGCATCAGACATGCCCAGGCAAACACCTCTAAGTACCATTTTGGCAACTCTCTGGCTGCTCTTTAAGTCATGCTAAATAGCTTGACTTAATCATTCTCTGTTCAGATTTGATAGCAGCCAGGCTTTTATTACACACAGTAGCAGTATTTGTGTTGATTAAACTTCTGGCCCTTAAGAAGTACACCATTAACTCTAACAGGACATCTGCAAAACCTGAGCTACTGGAAGCTCTGCTTGGGACTGTAATAACCAAAACGTAAGCAACATAGGAAGTTTGAGGGCATGAAATTTGTGCCCTATTTTCAATGACCATTACTGTCATCACAAGCTACAAACAGCGGTGGAAACGAGTTGAATAAGTCACAGGGAAACAGCAATCCCACATTACAAGGGAGAGGCCGGCTTCCTTCCCCAGCCACCCCACCTCTCTGGGCTGAATAGGTTTTATGCAGAAAGATGGTTTCCCTGCCCGGTGGCTGGGGGGAGGGGTCCCCATAAAGACGCTGTTTCCTTCCTAAACGGTGTCCAAACAGGATTCTGAGCGTCCGCTCTGATACACAGCCCCACTCAATAAACTGTGGGTGTTAAAGTTGAAAGAAATAAATACAGAAACAGCATGATACTTTGCCAAGTGGACTTTGGTCCAACTTTGCTTCAGCCCACAGTCATTGTACTGTTATCTTAAAATTTCCACGATTTCTTAAGGGCCAGGGAAGGTCAACAGAAGAACAAGTATCAGTATAAAAAGAAATATTTTATAGCAAAAAGTTTTTTTTTTTAATTTAGTAAATGACAACTTCCTGTTACTCAATGTCCCTAGCATTGTGTCAGCAAAACCCTGAATCCACCCAGGCACACTAAAGCAGTCATCAAAGCTATAAGGCACGATGAAAGCTATTCATGTTGAGCGCTTTAATAGAAAAGTATCTTAAAACATGTGAATTAAAATTCATTAAGTTGTAAAAAGCCTGAAGTTACAGAAAAGATGAAGAGTCCCTTCAAACTTCACAAACACCAGCATCCCTTCCTCTGAGTACCAATTAGAAGGGAATCTAGCATTTATTCTAACTTTTACTGAGGATGTATATTCATAGAGCCCTGATATAGTATTTAACTCCTTTGCGTACGTGACAAACTGCAGATGTTGCAACTTCATTTTTTATGTGTCAAAATTTGGTGATTTATTTGCACTAGTTTATAGATTGGTCTCATGTTTATATACAACTGTATGCAATTCAAAATGCCCATAGACTATGAGTTATCAAGAGTTCTATTATTGAACAATTGATTCACTCCACTTTTTTAGTTTGTCTGCTACAAGAAACATCTTAAAAAAAAAAAAAAACACACCACAAAAGAAGCCTCTGAGTGCAATGAGGGAGACTCCATCTCACTCAAACTGAGAGGCATGGATAAAACAATTTCTCAGGCTTCAGCTCGGCAAGATAAATGCTTCCAATTGACTTGGTAGACATCTTTGTTTTCTTGCCTTTTCATAGGCAGAGAGCAGGATATTAGGCAACCATATGAGGACAGTGTCTCCACAGGGCAGCAACATAGATTTAACCTAATTAGGAATACAAACTTCCACAGTTTCCAAAGCAAACATTTTCACGGATTTTTGGAAACAATGCATCATAATGCTTTTAAGAATATGAGGGACAGTAAATTCCTGGTTGAATTAGCTCACAAATGGAAGAGGGCAGGAAGTCTGAGTATTGATTCAGGATTTGGGAGCCCAAGTAAAAGTTACTGAGAAGGTATCTCGTCTTAAATTTTTAATCTGACCCACAATTGTCCTCAAATTATTCAACCTTTATTTCCATATAAAAGAATATTAAATCTGCTTAAACAGGATTCAAGCACAGAATATACAAAACTAATCTTTGAGCTACATTCATTATATTAGAAAATTATATTCTTTTATAATCAGTATACAACTGAGGCTGGTGTAACAACAGAGAAAACTTCTCATCTGGACCTTTTGTTTTACTACACAAATCTCCTAGGTGATGAGTTAACCGATTCAACGGAAAAGTTAATCAGAATCAACGTGAAGGAATAAAACCCTTAGGAAGGGAGAAAGAGACACATTTACAATCTAAACCAGACTACAGCGTCCTACTGATTCTGTCATCCTTTGACGTAGGAAATGGAGAATATTTGTGTATAAACCTGCATCACCCTATACTTTCCCTGGTACCCATTCACATTCTTGCTCTCCCACCCCATCTCTGCAGCTCCCTACCCCCCAGACCCAGTTCAAAAATCAGGAAATGAAAATATCCACTAGGTCACCGCTGGCCCCATTCAGAGCCAGAATCCAGCCCCTCAACCTCTTCTACATAGACCACACTCCCTCCCCTCCTGGACCCCCAGGGTCAATCAACCCATCCACACCAGAGGCCAGAACCAGATCCGAATTTTGCAACAGCACAAAACCTTGAGGCGCTTGCAGTTCTTATCAGCTGGCTCCCCTAAAACTTGCATGTGAATTCTCTATAAAATCAGTTGACAATCCTAGAAATTGTATAAAATTCACAATTAACATTAAACCCATTCATCCCATTTTAAAAATTACTATTTTCTGGAAGATAGAAATAGACACAGAGAGATCTCCCATCCACTGGTTCACTCCCCAAATCCCCACAATAGCTGGGAATGGCCCAGATCAAAGGCAGGAGCTCAGAACTCAGCCTGGGTCTCCCTTATGGGTAGCAGGGACCCAAGGACTTCAACCATCACATTCTGTCTCCCAGGATGCGCATTAACAGGATGCTGGAGGTGGGAGCAGAGTGGAGACTGGAGCCTGGGCACTCTCAGATAAGATGCAGTTGTTGTGTCTGACCTGCCTAAGCCAAAAACCCACCCCAAGAACATTAATATCTTTCTTAATGAATAAACACAGGTATGCAATTTTTAATGTATGTTTGTGTGGCTCTTACAAGAAAATTTCATTGGGTGTGTTTTTGGATTCTAGATAGAGGTGAACTGAGTTTAAAATCGGGTTCTGCATCAGACTGCCAGGATAACTGGATAAACTAAGTTCCTGGTTGTTCAGTTTCCCGATCTGTAAAATGTCAATAAAAACAGGAAACAACTCAGAGGTTGCCATGAAATAATCAGCACAAAGCAATAACAATGACAGATTCACAGGAATTGCATGTTAAATATCTATTTTTAGTCTTAATTTATGTCATTTTTAATTGCTTATGTTTTACATTTAAAAATCTACAGGACACACTCCCCTCCATGTAATCACCAAATATCCTATGTAATTTAGAAAGGATCTGCACCTCATGAATATTCTGGAACTAACTAATCCTCTGCTGTAGTTCATTAAGATTGTTTTCAGAACTGTGAGCAGTGTGACAAATTTCTACCTGGATATCTGTGCATCTGCAATAACATCCCCACAGGTAAATTCCTGGAGGTGGAACTGCTGAGTCACAAGACATGCCTGTTTTTATGGTTTGGGCTAATGTAGTCAATTTGTTCTCCTAAAATGAATTAATTTATACTCTCAGCTTCAGCAAATAAGTATTTCCCTGCAACCTGGACAACCAGAGGCATTTTTGTTGAATATACAGCAATATCATAGGAACAAATAGTCTCAGGTTGTTTTAATGTACACTTTTTTAAAGTGAACATTTTTGCCCATATGTTTATTAACAGTAGACCATGGTTGAGTCATCTCGCATGTCTGGCATATAACATCTATGTGCCTACAGGTATCAGTGCATCCTTTTGAACCCCGGATGCCATGCCAACACATAGCTCAACTATAAATGCTCAAAGGATACTTCTTTATTGAAGTTTAATCCACTTTACCAAACTGACTCTACAAGGCTTATACCAAGTCATTCTTCCTCCAACAATACAAGGCTTATACCAAGTCATTCTTCCTCCAACAATACTCGAGAGTGTCTTATTTCTACACTTGATAATAAAAAATTCTTTACCATATTGGTAATGATTTCATAAAGTAATTTCCTAATTTAAGTTGCTAACTCGACATAGATGTTCTCTGCGTGCACTCCAGGTGCTCAATGTGTGCCACAACTCTAGTTACCAGTTCAGTTACCCACTGACATCCCGCCACACACCTGCAATGCATTACAACCATCATCT